CGTCGGATCCATAGACTCCTTCTAATTCTCGACAAAACTTGGCGGGTTACATTTGTTTGGGAGACAATGTCATCCTTAATTTGTTAATTTGACAGCAACCTGGCTCCGAGGCATATTAAAATGTCTTCTTCTTAAAGTTGACGTCTAATCATCTCAAAAGTTGTCTTCTCTTGGGCAGGGACGCAGCATTTTAACACTTTGGGCTTCCCAGTGTTTATATACAAACCGACCGATTAAGCGGCTTCATTCATCCGTGATACCATAGACTGTAGGTTGCTATGGTTTGAAGATAGTAAAGCGATATCATCGGCGTAGTCGAACTCAGTCAGCCGGCGTCGGTGTGCAAGCTCAATGACGTTCTCTTCAGGTAGGACCTAATTAAATGAGGATATTCCACAGCTGGTAGTTCCTGCGGCAGAACGAAAGCTGAAAAATTTAATATATATTCGGTAGTGAGTGATGGTTGATAGAAACGGACAGGCGAGTTGGCTGGATGAGGAGTTATATTTACCGGATAGTTCGGAGTCTCACTCAAAAATATCCTCAGATACAGTCACTAGGATAGAAGGCGCAGTGTATATGTAGGCTGCAATTACAATGCTGCTCTATTTTCCTAGTAAGTAGCAAAATCCGTGCACATCTCTGGAGGTCGCACTTGTTACAAGGACTGCTTTTTAGTCCACAAGAGAGTCGTTAGTTTACGTGATTTAATCACCTTTGTTGACAATTGACTAAATAATTACTCAACAGTTTAGCTGCCAGCACCCGAGCAGTGTGGCTAAGTGTTTTACGCAGGTGACAAGACCTGAAAATTGAATATAGGTTGGAGGACCATGACCAAAGCAGTCCGCGGCTTATATGGTTCTCACCTCTTGCGAGAATGTTGACCTCTTTCTATTTGAAAATGCTAGTGTTATTCCCTCTCATCGGACATTTGCGTCCATCCATTCGCATGTGCACTTATCTCCCAGTTTTTTTGACTTTGTTGTCTTTTCGGCAATCGCAGCAGATCCGATAACCTACTATCGAGGTTTTCCGCTATGGCAGTGGATATTTCGGCCCTATGAGCTGAAGACTGCTGATCGTGTGTGATCTGCATGCAACTCCAACTGTGAATACTGTGAGAAGGCTGTCGACTGCAGCCGAGGCGGCCTTTGGGTACGCAAGTGTTCGCTACGAATTTATTCAATGGATCCACTTTGATTTCCGGCACGGCAATCATAAACTTGAAACGATAAGTCTGCGGCCGAAGGAGATTATGGTATCCTTTTTACACCTTTCCAAGGGTACTGCGTAGGAAGCTTATCTGAGTTCCAAGACAGAATAGAGTAAGTGCCCATCTACAATATATATGCATATACAGAATGATATTAAGACAAGGCCAAGGGGCTAGAATGGTCATTTTTGACCTATAAACCGTCAGCAGCCAGCCACAACCAATCCCACGTGTTGCGGCTACCTGGACTCGAACCCGCAACTTGGTGGATAAAAGTTCAGCATTGTAACTACTGCGGCATGGGCTCGTTGCTTTGACCAATTAAAGCATAATTTACAGAATGAAAAAGCCGACAAAGACAAAGGAGACCTGAATAACCATCTGTGGCTTATAAGCTCTCATCAGGCAGACATACCACTTTTCCGAGTCAGGCTTGTCAGTTAAATTAGAAACCAGGATAACGTCACATGCTGCTGGTCGAAATGCCTTTTGCGACAATACCTGTTGCGATGATCGAGCACGTCACCCAGACAGAGACACGGACAGTCCGAGGTCACGTCGGAAGGGACAAGTCACGCAACCTTCAAAGGTCGGACATTATGCCTGGACAAAGAAGGCGCACCCGAAGCCAGACTGCACTGAAGTCGAGCCGAGCCGAGTGAGGTCACGCTGAGGACAGACGCACAGGCGTGTGTTAGCGGAGTGCGCACGACCACTGGAGAGCCAATGGGGAGCAACGACGACTGCCCCTTAAATAGCGAGGCTGCC